TTTTGTTTCCAGACAAGGGTGGCATTGCTGATGGAGCCGCACACTGGCTTTAGTGCCTGGGCTCATGCTGTGCTCAGACCCTTAGACTCCCACAAAAGGGTGGGAGAGTACATTCTCTCTAAGGCGAAAAGAGAAGACTGAAAGACCACAAAAGTTAAGTATTAAAACCCTGTTGACGGGCCGGCACCGCCGCTCACTAGGCTAATCCTCCGCCTGCGGCGCCAGTACCCCGGGTTCTAGTCCCGGTCAGTTGGGGCACCGGATTTTGTCCCGGTTGCTCCTCTTCCAGTCCAGCTCTCTGCTGTGGCCTGGGAAGGCAGTGGAGGATGGCCCAGGTGCTTGGACCTTGCACCTGCATGGGAGACCAGGAGAAGCACCTGGCTCCTGGCTTCGGATCAGCGTGGTGCACCAGCTGCAGTGCGCCAGCTGCAGTGCGCCAGCTGCAGTGCGCCAGCCGCAGCGCGCCAGCTGCAGTGCGCCAGCCGCAGCGGCCATTGGGGGGTGAAGCAACGGAAAAGGAAGACCTTTCTCTCTGTCTCTCTCTCACTGTCCACTCTGCACACCCTGTTGATGGCTCCTCAAAAAATTAAACATAGAATTATTATATCATCCAGCAATTCAAGTTCTGGGTTTATACCAAAAGAATTGGAAACAGGGTGTTGAATAGCTAATTGTACATTCATGTTTATAGCAGCGTATTCATAATAGCCAAAAGGTAGAAACAACCCAAATGGCCACTGATGGATGAATGGATAAACACAATGCAGTCTATAAAATGAATGTTAGTCAGCCTTAAAACGGAATGGAATTCTGACACATGAGTTTAGTGTGTGGAAGAAACTTGAAGGGGTGTGTGTGTGTGTGTGTGTGTGTGTATGGCAGGGGAGGGGGCAGGGGGCTTCCCATCCACCCTCTGAAGGTTTGCTGCAATTAATTGACATAAACAGGTGAACAGATTAAGCTGCTGCTTGTGAAGCCAGAATCCCATATCAGAGCACCAATTCTTATCCCTGCTGCTCCACTTCCAATCCAGCTACTGCTAAAGCACCTAGGAAGGCAGTGGAAGATGGCCCAAGTGTTTGGGCCCCTGCACCCATGCGGGAGACTAGGATGGAGTTCTTGGCTCCTGGCTTTTGCCTGGACTACACTGGCTGTTGTGGCCATTTGGAGAGTGAACCAGTAGATAGAAGATCTTTCTCTCTCTGTCTCTCCCTCTCTCTGTCATTCTACCTCTCAAATAAGATTTTATTTATTTATTTATTTATTGGAGAGGTAGAGTGATGGCGGGGGAGGGGGGAGGACAGAAAGATCTTCCATCTGCTGGTTCACTCCCCAGATGGCCACAATGGCCGGAGCTGTGCCGATCCAAAGCCCAGAGCCAGAAGCTTCCTCTGCGTCTCCCATGTCGGTAAGGAGGGAGAGAGAGAGAGAGAGAGAGAGGGAGAGAGGGAGAGAGAGAGGGGGAGAGAGAGAGAGAGAGAAGGAGAGAGAGAGAGAAGAGAGAGAGGCAGAGAGAGGGGGAGAGAGAGAGAGGGAGAGGAGAGAGGGAGAGAGAGAGAGGGGGAGAGAGAGAGAGAGAGGGAGAAGAAGAGAGAGAGGCAGAGAGAGAGGGAGAGAGAGAGAGAGAGGGAGAAGAAGAGAGAGAGGGAGAGAGAGAGGGAGAGGGAGAGAGAGAGAAGGTCGGCGCTGTGGTGCAGTAGGTTAATCCTCTGCCTGTGGTGCTGGCATCCCATATGGGTGCCAGTTCTAGTCCCGGCTGCTCCTCTTGCAATTCAGCTCTCTGCTGTGGCCTGGAAAAGCAGTAGAAGGTGGCCCAAGTGCTTGGGCCCCTGCACCCACATGGGAGACCTGGAAGAAGCTCCTGGCTCCTGGCTTCGGATTGGTGCATCTCTGGCCGTTGCAGCCATTTGGGGAGCGAACCAATGGAAGGAAGCCCATTCTCTCCGCCTCTCCCTCTCACTTTCTGTAACTCTATCCCTCAAATAAATAAATAAAATCTTTAAGAGAGAGAGAGAGAAAGAAACAAGGAGGGAAAGTATATGAATTTCCTGTAGGGATTTCATAGGAGAGTGATTATCCAGTAACCCAATGAGATTCAGAAACTAAAAAACTTTTCTTTTTAGGGAAGAGGGAAATGGGAAAATAAAGGCATTTTTTGAAAGGTGGAAAATGAGGTTTAGAATAAACAAATGAGCCCAAAGAGTAGATCACGAATGAGACAAAGCTGTTCTTAATTCTGGGAGAGGTGGCACTTGTTACCAGAGTTGAGAGGTGCAACTTCACCATGAACCAAAGAATTTGTTATGTAGATAAAGTCTCCTAAGGAATCTCCCAAGAACAGCAGAAAACTTGGCGTGATTTTAGTCTCTTCTGTGGTGTTTCATCTTTCCTGATTATTTGATGATATTCTGAGGGAGGGAATTTAAGACAATTCTATTTGTAAATAGTTTCCTCAGATAAAATGGCCCCTCCCTGCACTGGGTAGAGGGAGAAACAAAGGAGAGATTAGGGAGACCCTGATTCTAAGGCTTTCCAGTTTCCTTTTTTTAAAAGATTTATTTTACTTATTTGAAAGACAGAGTTAACAGAGAGAGGTAGGGTCAGAGAGAGAGAGAGAAGTCTTCCAAATGTTGGTTCACTCCCCAGAAGGCCACAAGGGCCAGAGCTGAGTTGATCTGAAGCCAGACTCCAGGAGCCTCTTCTGGGTCTTCCACGTGGGTGCAGGGGCCCAAGGACTCAAGGGCCATCCTCCACTGCTTTCCCAGGCCACAGCAGAGAGCTAGATCAGAAGTGGAACAGCCGGGACTTGAACTGGAGCCCATATGGGATGTCACACCGCAGACAGATGCTTAACCTACTATGCCATAGCGCCGACCCCTCCAGTTTCCTTTGGTTTAAGGTGCTCAGCACATCAAAGCATCATACCTTGGGCTCTTATTTCCTGAGTACCAACACAAACACCATGCTAAGTGAAATAAGACAGAAACTAAAGGGCAAACACTGTATGATTCCACTTAGATGGAGTCCCTAGAATAGACCAATTTACAGAGGCAGAACATGGAACAGTGGTCATCAGAGACCAGGGAGGAAAAGGAATGGGGTTACTGTTTCATGGATACAGAGCTTCAGGGTGACATAAGGACAAAGTTCCAGAGATATAGGGTGGTACCAGTGGCATGATAATGGTAAGAAGTAACTGATGTAGGCCAGCATTGCCAGGGGTGGAAGGATTCACCAGAATGGTCAGACAACGTGGGCGGAGTTGGGTTTATGGAACAACATGGCAAGAGAGCAGCAGGTACACAGGACAGCTAGAGACTGACAGCTGCTGCCCCGTGCTGCACAGAGACTATGACCCAAAAACCACACTTGTAACTGCAGTATCTTTTAGTTATGGGGAGCTGCCCGTGGTCCAATAAGTTTTGCATTTCTGGGTGGAGTTGGGGAGCCTGCACCGCCCTTAGCTTAGGTTCCCCAACCTTCTGCAGTACTGTGAATGTACTTAGCTGTAACCTAAGAATGGTTGCAGGCAGGGGTGGGCACGTGGCACCGCTGTTAAGACACTGCTAAGATGCCCACATCCCATGTAAGAGTGCTTCAGTTTGAGCCCAGGCTTTGCTTCTGATCACTTCCTACTACTGTGCATCCCGAGAGGCCACAGGTGATAGTTCAGGTGCTTGGATTCGGCTACCCTTGTGGGAGAGTGACACGCTTAATAACTAGCAGGACCGAGCAGAGTTTGGAAGGGGAAAAAGGCTTGTCTGGGAAAGCTCTTGAGCGCGGACTACTGGGAGCAGAGACAAGCACAGGTTTTGCAGACTTGATTCTCACACATTCGCATGTTTCTCTAATAACAAGGATGTGGAATTATGAGCATAAAATCAGCTACAGGCCTTGGAAGGGGCCTGACACTTAAGTCTGACCAAAAGTCCACTTCTACTCGGAACCGACAGCTTATGAAAAAGTGGAAAAAGTGAGAAGTTCGGACGAGAGGGAAATAACGTTTGCTCAGTGTAACAACATAACCACTACCTCACCTGACTAACTTTAAACCTGCCTGGAATGAAGGTCACATAGCCAGCAAGAAACCAGGCCCGAGCCGTGGGCCTGAGGAGGCTAAGCATACACAGAGATGACGCACAAGCAGCACATTTTAAAGGAGAAAGCCTATGCTCGTGATTAGTAACGAGTGTGAGTTACTCAGCCAGTGAGCGAACTCCTGTCCTGCACCGCTCTTCGCCACCAGGTGTTCAGCGATGCAGGTTCCTCGTGAGCCGGCGCCGGTCTGGCGCTCCTCCCGGGCACAGGAGGTTTTGCTACAAAGCGTTGTGCTTTGTGGATTGTTTCAGTGCTGGAGGCTTGGAGAGAGTTCACGAGGGACTATTTCCGCTCTGCTGATTGGCAGGCTCTCCGCGGCAGTGAGCAGCTGTCTAGGCCCCTCTCCGGGTAGGCAGTTCGCCACTAGAGGCCCTCTCTCCAGTTCCTTACTCCACTCAGTTCCGAGAGGTCTCCCGTCAGGGCCCAAAATGGTGGCCTCGTCTCTCGCTGTCCTGCGAGCCTCCGGACTGTGCCAGGTGGGCCTGAGGAGTTGGGCGCGGCTGCAGGGCCCGCCGCAGCTGAGGCCGGGTGGCTGGATCACTTGGACCCCTGCTCGGATGGCGGCGACGGTGAGCGTGGAGCCCGCGGGCCCCTGCTGCTGGGACGAGCCGGTGCGCATCGCCGTGCGCGGCCTGGCCCCCGAGCAGCCGGTCACGCTGCGCGCGTCCCTGCGCGACGAGAAGGGCGCGCTCTTCCGGGCCCACGCGCGCTACTGCGCCGACGCCGGCGGCCAGCTGGACCTGGCGCGCGCGCCCGCGCTGGGCGGCAGCTTCGCGGGGCTCGAGCCCATGGGGCTCCTCTGGGCCCTGCAGCCCGACAGGCCCTTCTGGCGTCTGACCAAGCGGGACGTGCAGACGCCGCTGGCCGTGGAGCTGGAGGTGCTGGACGGCCACGCCCCGGAGCCCGGGCAGCTCCTGGCCCGCGCGCTGCTGGAGCGCCGCTTCCTGCCGCCGGGGGTGCGGCGCCAGCCGGTGCGCGCGGGCCGGGTGCGCGCCACGCTCTTCCTGCCGCCAGGTGAGGCGTCTGCAGTTCCTTGTCCCCAAGCTTTTACAGCAAGGAGGTAGCGCCCAACATTCCAGAGGTCAGTGTCAAGGAGACAGGAATGGAATGGAAGCCTGGGGGTGGGGGTGGGGGTGGGGGGTGGACCTGCCTGGCCAGAACTGACAGGTGTCTTCAATATCTAGTGCTCAGTTAAAAGGCAGCTTAAGGAGAGGGAACAGACGCTTGTAATTTAAAAAACAAAAACAAAATGCCCATCTACAGGTAAGTTCAGTTTTTTAATATTCTTTTAGAAGTCTTTCAGCTTTGCAGTTGTACTTCCAGCTTCCACAGTTATCTTAAGGTTTATGTAAATGAGCATTTACAACAGGAGGGAGGCCTCTTCCTGTCAACTGGAAATCTGAGCATTGGGTACTTTTCCATCACATAAAGAAAAACCGGCCGATGAAGAACTAAAGGATGCTTAGCCCAAATGCCCATCGACAGCAGAATCGATGAGCACATCGAGATAACTTTTCCAGCAAAGTGATCAGACATCTGGTACAAGAACCACTAGGCGTCCATCTCCAGACACTGCTGAGTAAAACAGTCACCTCTCAGAACACCTTCCATGGCATTCCCTTTACACGAGATTCAAAGAGTAGGCGAAATACGCTGAGTATTGCTTAAGGCACACGTGTGAGTGATAATAAAGAAAACCAAGAGATTTATAAACACAGGATGCAGGAGCCTGTGTGGGAGGAAGGGGCTTCATGTTGTTAGTGTGGAACTGTTAAACAGAGTATTGCTCATGAAGTGTTTATTATTCTGTAGGTTTTAGGTGAAATAGAAGCTTTCTATATAAATGGTAAAAATATCCAGCAAATGGAATCGTACAGAATGAATCGAGCCCGTGAGTCAGTCTGCATTCACTTATCGGAGTTCATTTGTGCTGGTCTGTGTATCAGTCCTTTGTTTTTCTTAGTTGTGCTCCACTGTATGTAATTTTACCAGCATATTCATCCCCCACCAGTTGGAGGATGTTTGGTTTGTTTCTAGTCTCTGGGGTTGTGAATAAAGTGGCTACAGACATTTCACATACAAACTTTGTGTGGACCCAAGTTTTCATCTCTCTTGTGTTCACACAGGAGAGGAATTGCTGGGTCATAGGGTAAGTGTGTATGCTTGATTTTGTAAGAAACTGCCAGTTGTGTTCTTGGTTTTTTTTTTTTTTAAGATTTATTTTATTCATTTGGAAGTCAGAGTTTATAAAGAGAGAGGGAGAGACAGAGAGCTGCTTCTGGGTCTCCCATGTGAGTCCAGGGGCCTAAGCATTTGGGCCATTCTCTGCTGCTTTTCCAAGTGCATTGGTGAGGGGCTGGGTCGGAAGTGGAGCAGCTGAGACTCGAACCCAACTGTGCTCTAAAGTGACCGTACTAGCAGCACTGTATGAGGGTTCCAGTTGTTCTGCATCCTCCTCAGCATTAGGCTTTGGCAGTTTTTGGGTGGGAAGAGAGGAAAGTTGTTGATTATTTATAAATCATTTAGAGATTTTTATTTTCATTTTATTTGAAAGGCAGAGACAGAGAGAGATCTTCCATCTGCTGGCTCAATCCCAGATTCCCACAACAGCCAGTGTGGGGCTAGGTCAAAGCCTAGGACTTGTAACTCAGTCCAGTTTTCCTTCTTGGGTGGCAGGGACCCAAGTACTTGGGCCATCATCTGCTGCCTCCCAGGGTACATATTAGCAGGAAGCTGGGTTGGAAGTGGAGGAGCCAGGACTCAGACAAGGCACTCTGGTATGGGGCGCGGGAGTCCCAGGCAGCATCTTACCTGCTGTGCCAAACAGCTGTCCCTGCAAATTATTTTAAGTCTTAAAAGTAATATACTTAGGGGCCAGCACTCTGACGCAGTGAGTTAAAGCCCAGCCTGTAGTGCTGGCATCCCAGTGCTCCATTTCTGATCCAGCTCCCTGATAATGTGCCTGGGAAAGCAGCGAATGATGGCCCAAATCCTTGGGCCCCTGCACTCATATGGGAGACCTGGAAGAAGCTCCTGGCTCCTGGCTTCAGATTGGCTCAGCTCTTGGCCGTTGCAGCCATCTGAGAAGTGAACCAACAAATGGAAGATCTCTCTCTGTAACTCTTTCAAGTAAATAAAATAAATCTTAAAAAACAAACAAACCCATGGGGCTCAGAGAGGCTTTGTGTAGATAGGAGGATGTGAATTTAGCTTATATGCCACTGTTATTTGTTTGAAGACCAGAGGTCTTTCAGTGTTTCCGATTGTCCCTAGAAAACTCTGATACCACCAAGCAGGTAACAGATGGCTTTTGCCACCACTGCAGAGTGTCAGGAATAGTTGAAGTGTGTGTGTGTTTTGTTTCTTCCCAGGCCCCGGGCCCTTTCCTGGCATTATGGACATATTTGGAGTTGGAGGTGGCCTGCTGGAGTATCGAGCCAGCCTGCTGGCTGGGAAGGGCTTTGCTGTCATGGCTCTGGCTTATTACAACTATGATGACCTCCCCAAGAGCATGGATACCCTCCACCTGGAGTACTTTGAAGAGGCGGTGAACTACCTGATCAGCCGCCCCGAGGTTAGACCTTCTCTCTGTTTTACGGGCTCCCTAGCAGGTCTCCTCCTCATGAGTGCTCCTGGTTTTCACAGAAGTGAGGTCATTCATGAGAGCCACTCTACTCCAGACACACGACCTTTTATAGTAGCTTCTCAGAGACAGTTTCCATGGTGATCTGTATTACTGTTATGTATGAGAGTACTTTAAAAAAAATCTTTGGAAAAATGGAATTAAAAAATAAACTTATTTTGATGCCCCAAATTTTTGAAAACTTGGATGGTTTTTGTGAATTTGCGTTTTCTTAAACTCATTGAGTTCCTTGTATTTCCTGTTAGTAAATATGTTTTCAGCTGGTATTATGGAATTCTAAATGGAGTTGATTAATGGTATTCCGTAATTAGTCAAACACTTTTGAGAATCCTGAGTTTGACAGAAAATAAAGGGAAAAAGGGGTATTACTGTCCTGAAGGTACCCTTGTGAGAGTCTTGGGTTATTTGGAAGGAGGAATTTGGCAGCCAAAACCTGCATGCCAGAAATATTCTGAAGTTTCTAGACTTAGTGTATATCAGAGGATCAGATCATAGTCCTTGCTTATTTCACAATTCACTCAGAACTCAAGGTGACAGAAACCTTGGAGCTTTAAAAAAGGATAATAGGATATAGCAGAACAAGCCTGAAGTGTATATATGAGGGAGTCTTCAAGAAAGCATATAGAAAATTCAAATTATGAAAAAAATTATGCATGTATTTAAACATTTTTGTGGCCAAAATAATCTTAGCTTTTAATTCCATTTTCCATGAGTTTTTCGGTTTGCCTTCATAGAATAAAGTTAAATTACTTTCACATTACTTTAACTTTTATCATTAAATTAATGGGCATTACTTTGCCCATTTCTTTTTTTAATTTTTTTTTTTTTTTTTTTTGACAGGCAGAGTGGACAGTGAGAGAGAGAGACAGAGAGAAAGGTCTTCCTTTGCCGTTGGTTCACCCTCCAATGGCCGCCGCGGCCGGCGCGCTGCGGCCGGCGCACCGCGCTGATCCGATGGCAGGAGCCAGGAGCCAGGTGCTTTTCCTGGTCTCCCATGGGGTGCAGGGCCCAAGCACCTGGGCCATCCTCCACTGCACTCCCTGGCCACAGCAGAGGGCTGGCCTGGAAGAGGGGCAACCGGGACAGAATCCGGCGCCCCGACCGGGACTAGAACCCGGTGTGCCGGCGCCGCTAGGCGGAGGATTAGCCTAGTGAGCCGCGGCGCCGGCCTACTTTGCCCATTTCTTTTTAAATCATGACCATGCACCACATTGTGTGTATCATTTGAGAGGTGTAAAGATGATGGAGGCAGCTCCCATCTGCTGGTTCACTCCACACATGTCTGCCGCTGGGAGCCAGGAACTCAGTCCAGGTCTCCCACAGGGTGGCAGGAGACCCAATACCTAAGCCATTACTGCTTCATTCCAGAGGCTGTGTTAAGAGGAAGCTAGAGTCAGGAGCTGGAGCTGGTATTCTGATGTGGGAAGCAGATGTTAAAATTACTAGGCTAAACACCTGTTCCAACTTTTCTAACCCCTTGACTGTGGTACCTCTCACTCCTCCTTTGAAGCAGTATAATAAACATATCAGTTCCTGGTACTTCAGTGAAGAATGTATCCTTAAAACCAGTGAAGGGTGCTGTTGCAGAAGGCCAGTTAAGTGATTGTTTGTTTATCTGAAAGAGAACACTGGGAACCAAGACAGAGCAGCTCATGGGACAGTGCACACCCAGACTCCCCTAGAGGGGTCTCAGTAGGGAATGGAACTAGAAATACAGCAATTACCAACAAATTTTCCTACAAATATTGCTGTGAAGGGAAGCAGAGGATTAGGGCAGTAACTAGAGTAGAAGTAGTCAAGGGATTGTCAATAAAATGCAAAAAACCATGGAGTTCTCAAAAAAATTCATGGAAGATGTATATATGGTAAAACCACACGTGAATTTCAAAACCTTTTTGTACCAAAATGAACATGTATTTACTTGTTGTTACATGTCTGAACAGGATCTAGTTTGAGGCACTAAGAAGTATAGGACATTACTTTGAAAAGAGCCACTATTAAGGCCGGTGCCGCGGCTCACTAGGCTAATCCTCCGCCTTGCGGCGCTGGCACACCGGGTTCTAGTCCCGGTCGGGGTGCCAGATTCTGTCCCGGTTGCCCCTCTTCCAGGTCAGCTCTCTGCTATGTCCAGGGAGTGCAGTGGAGGATGGCCCAAGTGCATGGGCCCTGCACCCCATGGGAGACCAGGAGAAGCACCTGGCTCCTGCCTTCGGATCAGCACGCCAGCCGTGGCGGCCATTGGAGGGTGAACCAACAGCAAAGGAAGACCTTTCTCTCTCTCTCTCTCTCTCTCTCTCTCACTCTCTCTCACTCTCACTGTCCACTCTGCCTGTCAAAAAAGAAAAAAAAGAAAAGAGCCACTATTAGAGCAATGTGAGCGCTACTAAAATTGAAGCAAGGGAGACGGCACTGTGGTGTTATGGGTAAAGCCGCCGCCTGCAGTGCCAGCATCCTGGCTGCTCCACTTCTGATCCAGCTCTCTGCTATGGCCTGGGAAAGCAGTAGAGGATGGCCCAAGTCCTTGGGCCCCTGCACCCATGTGGGAGGTCCAGACGAAGTTCCTGGCTCCTGGCTTTGGATTGACACAGCTCTGGTTGTTGCAGCTGTCTGGGGAATGAACAGGTGGAAGGAAGACCTCTCTCTCTTTTTCCCTCTCTCTTCTTTTCTATGTAACTCTTTCAAATAAATAAATAAATCTTTAAAAAAATAAAATTGAAGCAAGAACAAATATCAAATTTATGAAGGTAGAAGAATGGTGAAATCATTTATGATTTCCCAAAAGTATATGGTGACAATGACTCAAAGAAATTAGCAGTTTACAAATGGATATGTTTTAGAGGAAATGAGATGATGTTGAAGATAAAGCCCACAATGGTAGACCATCTACATCAATTTGGATGGAAAAAGTTAATCTTGTTCATGTTGAAATTCAACAGACTTACAATTAACAGTAGAAACAATAGCCAACACCACAGCCATTTAAATTAGGACTGAAAAATTAAAGTCAAGCAAATTGTCAGCTCAATATGTGCCCAAACTGTTGTGCTCAGATGAGATGCAGACAAGAGCAGACCTAGCCTGCTTGCTTGGCTTCTTTCTTTCAAGATTTATTTATTTATTTGAAAGGCAGAGTTACAGAGACATTGGTGCAGGGGCCCAAGTACTTGGACCATCTTCTGTCATTACCCTAGGTGCATTAGCTGGGAGCTGGATTGGAAGTGGAGCAGTCAGGACTCAAACCAGTGCTCAGATGGGATGTGGTGGCCTCACAGGCGGTGGCTTAACCAGCTGTACTACAATGCTGGCTTCAAGAGCAGAGCTTTTGATGAAAAATTTAAACAAGCAATATCTAGGTCCAGTAGCCTTTCTTTCAGGAATTGAAACAGGGCATGGAAGTACAATTCTCAAGATAAAGCACAATCAAAATAAAGGCTACCAAGAAGGGGAAGTGGTCTAGGCCAAGCAAAAGTGGACAGGTCAAGAGCAAAGGTCATGGCAACAGTTTTTTTGGGATGTTCAAGGAATTTTGCTTAGTGGCTTTCTGAAGGACCAAGTAGCAACAACTGCTTATCAGGAGAGTATTTTGAGAAAATTAGCCCAGCTTTAGCAGAAAAATGCCCAGGAGAGTTCACCATGATAATGCTTCTGCTCACTTCTCTTATCAAACAAGGGCAATTTTGTCACTGTTTTGATAGGAAATCATTGGGCATCCACCTTACAGTACTTATTTGTCTCCTTCTGATTTCTTTTTGTGCCTAATCTTAAAAATTTGTATATGTTTATTTTTTTTATTTATTTTAAAGGCAGAGTTACAGAGAGGCAGAGGCAGAAAGAGAGAGAGACAGAGAGAGGTCTTCCATCTGCTGGTTCACTCCCCAGATGGCTGCACAACGGCCAGGGGAGCTTCATCCAGGTCTCTCATGTGGGTGCAGGGACCCAAAGACTTGGGCCATTTTCCACTGCTTTCCCAGGCGCATTAGCGGGGAGCTGGATCAGAGGTAGAGCAGTTGGGACTTGAACTGGCACCCATACACGATGCTAGTGCTGCAGGTGGTGGCTTAACCCACTATGCCACAGCACCAGCCCCCGGAGATGTCATGGCAGAAGCAAAATCCTCATGAACTGATGGTGCATGGGATCCCAAACACACATAGAAAGAAGGGTGACATCTGGTAGGAGCAGAGATAACCTTTTTGGAAACAGAAGAGAAGTCTGAGAGCTTGAGTTTATGTGGGAGTAGATTTTACAATGAGGAGCCGGCGCCGTGGCTCAATAGGCTAATCCTCCACCTTGCGGCGCCGGCACACCGGGTTCTAGTCCCGGTTGGGGCGCCGGATTCTGTCCCGGTTGTCCCTCTTCCAGGCCAGCTCTCTGCTATGGCCAGGGAGTGCAGTGGAGGATGGCCCAGGTGCTTGGGCCCTGCACCCCATGGGAGACCAGGAAAAGCACCTGGCTCCTGGCTCCTGCCAGGATCAGCGCGGTGCGCCGGCTGCAGCGGCGGCCATTGGAGGGTGAACCAACGGCAAAAGGAAGACCTTTCTCTCTCTGTCTCTCTCTCTCACTGTCCACTCTGCCTGTCAAAAAAAAAAAAAAAAAAAAAAAAAAAAAAGATTTTACAATGAGAAAATCCTGCTGGGTAGATGCTGTTTTCTCAATGAAGTGTAAAAAGCTAAGTATAGGGGAACATGGCTGTAAGAGGCTTCAGGAAGTATAGAAGGTTAACAGTCTTTCAGAGAAGCAGAAAGCAGATCCACTGGTGAAGTCTGCCACAACTGGTGGGCAATATGGATGTGTTTTTGAAAATTATAGTCATGAATGGAAGTAATTTTTCAGCACAAATATATACTTTTCCTCCAAGTACTGTTCATTTGCAGAAATGCAGGCCTACAGGAAGTGACCAGGTGGGTTTAACCAGGGCTAGCACTTTTCCTAGGCCAGTATGACCAAAGCGAGAAGGGCATTCAAGGAGTTACATGTGTTTGCAGGGGAGCAACCATACTGATGAAGCATGAAGTCTATAAGCTGGAGGAGGTGAGAAGTGAGGACAAGAGAGAGACATTGATAGCGAAGAACTGGTAGCCAGGGTCTCAAAGAGGTAGAACTGGGGTCACTGGCGTGGCTCAGCTGGAGGTGTTGAAGGTGGTGATCAGGGAGTGCAATGCTTGATGCTGAGACCTGGGAGATGATGTGCTTACTGATGAGAATGCGAGTGGATGGCTCAGGTGATAGAGAAGATCATGAGAGGTATGGAGGTCACGGAACTGAAGCCAGAGTATTTGAAAGATCATCCATGTGGTTGTTGAAATCCAGAATGGTGACAGAGGGGCTGGCATCGTGGCACAGTTTAATCTGCAGCTTGCATCAGCAGCATCCCATATCAGAGCACTGGTCCAAGTCTCTACTGCTCCACTTCTGATCCAGCTCCGCTTCTGATCTGCCTCTCTGCTAATGTGCCTAGGAAAGCAGCAGAAGGTGGCTAAAGTACTTGGGCCCTGCCACCCAAGCGGGAGACCTGGATGGAGTTCCTGGCTCCTAGCTTCAGCCTGTCCCAGTCCTGAGTATTGAGGCCATTAAACCAGCAGATGGAAGATATCTCTCTCTGTTTCCTCTTCTCTGTCACTCTGCCTTTCAAGTAAATAAAAAAAATTTTTTTTTTTTAAAAAGGATGGTGATAGACAGATTGTGGAAAGGAAGGTAAGGAAGAAGAGTAAGTAAATTTCCCTAGGTTGCAAACCTGTATAAGAATCCACGCTTGGCCGGCGCTGTGGCTCAATAGGTTAATCCTCCACCTGCCGTGCCGGCACCCTGGGTTCTAGTCCCGGTTGGGGCACTGGTTCTGTCCCGGTTGCTCCTCTTCCAGTCTAGCTCTCTGCTGTGGCCCAGGAAGGCAGTGAAGGATGGCCCAAGTGCTTGGGCCCTGCACCCGCATGGGAGACCAGGAGGAAGCACCTGGCTCCTGGCTTTGGATCAGTGCAGTGCCAGCAGTAGTGGCCATGTGGGGGGTGATCCAACGGAAGAAAGACCTTTCTCTCTCTCTCTCTCTCTCTCTCTCTCTGTCTAACTCTGCCTGAAAAAAAAAAAAAAAAAAAGAATCCACGCTCAATCTTGGGCCCACCTGACTTCCCAAAGTGTGCACTGCTAACTATACTGCACTGTCTGTGAACTCATTTTTCTTCTTTTTCCTCTGTTCCCTTCTCAGGTAAAAGGTCCAGGGATTGGGCTGCTTGGACATTCCAAAGGGGGTGAACTTTGCCTCACCATGACCTCCTTCCTGAAGGGCATCACAGCTGCCGTCATAATCAACGGTTCCATAGCTAATGTTGGGGGGACCTTACGCTACAAGGACATGACCCTGCCCCCTATAGGTGCCAACAGAAGTCGAATCAAGATGACCAAAGAAGGCTTTGCAGACATTGTGGACGCCCTGAACAGCCCTTTGGAAGGGCCTGACCAGAAGAGCCTAATTCCTGTGGAGAGGTCTGAGTGCACCTTCCTGTTCCTCGTGGGTCAGGATGACCACAACTGGAAGAGTGAGTTCTATGCCAATGAGGCCTCTAAACGCCTCCAGGCCCAGGGGAAGGCAAAGCCCCAGATCATCTGCTACCCAGAGGCAGGGCACTACATCGAGCCCCCGTACTTCCCCCTGTGCCGGGCTTCCCTGCACGCCTTGGTGGGCGGTCCTGTGTTCTGGGGAGGGGAGCCCAGGGCTCATGCTGCGGCCCAGGTGGATGCTTGGCAGCAACTCCAGACTTTCTTCCACAAGCACTTGGGTGGTGAGAGTTAGAGGGGCTCTCTGGAAAATATAGTCCATCCAATTTGAAGGGTAAAATTTAAATATATTCTAATTACATCAGTCTGGTTTGTTCAGATTAGACTGAATGTATTACTATAACTCAGGTTTTCATTCACTTTTTTTCTATAATATTACTGCCAAAAACAGTTTCTATACAACAGTGGTATTTTGAGTGAAAAACAGTCATACGTATAGGGGCCAGTCTTGTGGCATAGTGGCATAGCGGTGGGGCTGCCTGTGGTGCCAGCATCCCATATGGGCACTGGTTTGTGTCCCAGTTGCTTCACTTCTGATCCAGCTCTCTGCTAATGGCCTGGGAAGAGTGGTAGAGAATGGCCCAAATGTTTGGACTCCTGCCATCCATATGTGAGACCTGGGGGAACCTCCTGGCTCCTGATTTTGACCTGACCCAGCCCTGGCTATCTCATCCATCTGGAGGGTGAACCAGGGGAAGAAAGATCTCTCTCTCTGTAACTCTTTCAAATAAATAAATATATTTTTTAAAAAGAGTCATAAGTATAGATACTTTTGTTAAATTAAAAATTGGAATGGGGCTGGCCTTGTGGTGCAGTGGGTTAAGCTGCCAGCTGCCATGCTGGCATCCCATAAGGGGGTCAGTTCAAGTCCTGGCTGCTCCACTTCAGATCCAGCTCTCTGCTAATGCTCCTCGGAAGGCAGTAGAAGATGGCCCAAGTGCTTGAGTCCCTGCTCTCACATGAGAGACCTGGATGAAGCTCTTGGCTCCTGGCTTGTGCCTGGCCCAGCCCCAGCTTTTGTGGCCATTTGGGGAGTGAACCAGCAGATGGAATATTCTCTCTCTGTAACTCTGTCTTTCAAATATATATATATTTATATATATATATAAAATGTATATATATATATTTAGAAATTGGAACATTACAGATTAAGCTGCTATCTCATTCAGTGCTTGTACCATTGTCACTACCATCCTTATGTATATACAGGTTTATTATAAAAGATACTGTTTCGGGCCCAGTGCTTTGGCATAGTGGGTAAAGCCACTGCCTGCAGTGCCAGCATCCCATGTGGGTGCCAGTTCAAGTCCCAGCTGCTCCACTTCTGATCCAGCTCTCTGCTATGGCCTAGGAAAACCATAGAAGATGGCCCATATGGAGACCCTGCATCCTGCACCCATGTGGAGACCCAGAAGAAGCTCTTGGCTCCTGGCTTTGGATCAGCACAGACCTCTCTGTCTCTCTCTGCCTCTGCCTCTCTGTAATTCTACTTTTCAAATAAATAAATCAATATTTTTAAAAAATTTATTTTATTTATTTGAAAGGCAGAGTTACAGAGAGAGGTAGAGACATAGAGAGAGACAGAGAGAGGCAGAGAGAGAGAGAGGTCTTCCATCTGCTGGTTCACTCCCCAAATGGCTGCAATGGCTGGAGCTGAGCTGATCTAAAGCTGGGAGTCAGGAGCTTCTTCCAGTTCTCCCACATGTGTGCAGAGGCCCAAGGGCTTGGGCCATCCTCCGCTGCTTTTCCAGACACATTAGTGGGGAGCTGGATTGGAAGTGGAGCAGCTCGGACTCGAACCAGGTCCCGTATGGGATGCCAGTGCCGTAGGCTGGACTTTAACGTGCTTCGCCACAGCTCTGGCCCCAATAAATAAATCTTAAAAAAAAAAAAAAAGATACTGTGTCTGTTTTTCTTTCTTTTTCACATCCTACTCATAAACCTACAAACCTGGTCACCCCCAGACCCTCCCTTCTTTCCCTGGCCCTCCAGATCCCCAGAAAATAATTTTTGGTATGTATTTTTTCAGATGTTACATTTTACCATGTATATATGTAGCAACAAAAATGTTTTGTGTTGTATAAGTATTTTAATAAGAAAATTGATTTTATAAAGCAAATAATGGGGAAAGAGCAACTGTTACCTGAAACACACCAGAATCACATGGGATTAGTTCAGGAAAGAAAAGAACAGTTGGGGAAGAAATAATACTTCTGGGACATCCATTTGTGCTAGTCACTAATCCTCACAACCATTTTGTGAGGCAAGTAAAAGAAAGTGCAAGAAAAAGCTGTTGGGGCTGGTGTTATGGGCATAGTGGGTAATGCCGCCACCTGCAGTGCCAGCATCCCATTAGGGCACCGGTTTGAGTGCTGGCTGCTCCACTTCTGATCCAGCTCCCTACTAATGTGCCTGGGAAAGCCGTGGAAGATGGCTCAAGTGCCTGGGCCCCTACACCCACAAAGGAGACCTGTTGAGGATCCTGGCTCCTGGCTTTGGTTTGGCCCAGCCCTAGCAGTTGTGACTATTTTGGGGGTGAACCAGCAGAAAGATTATTTCTCTCTCTCTCTCCCTCTCTCTCTCTCACTTCTTCATTTCTGAAACTCTGCCTATCGATTACATGAAATAAATTAAAAAGAGAAGCTCTTGCCCACATATTATAAGGCAAAAGTCACCTGTGAGAGTTAGTGATTGCTATTCAAAGTTGTGGGGAAAGAGGGATTTCTTGGACTCTTTCCTTACTAGGTTTATGATTGAGGCGCCTACCACAAAAGATAGATTAATCTGAAAAAGCATAGAAATTTATTAAATACTAGTTTTACCTGTCATGAGAGCCTTCAGAAATAAAGACCCCCAAGAATCAGGGAATCCTGCGTATTTTTACACTAGGTTGATGGAGTATTTAAGTTGCAGGGACACGTGTTGGAGGAAGGAACTATGAGCTAGTTGTTACTAGCTGGGCGACTCAGGGAGGCCTGTTGGGATCCCGCTCTGTGCTGCTGTGTGTCCTGTGATAGGACGGCAGTGGGTCCTCCTCGAATGAGGGTCTGAACAACCTGTCACGGCAGGGAGTGTGAAAGGTCAGAGAGTGTGACCTTCTGGATTTTTGTGGCTGTTTCTGCTGCTCTCTCAAATGCCAGCTTCACAGTCCAGAACCTGGGTTTCATTGGAGCTAATAAAGCAGGTTTCTCAGCTGGGGTCAGTTTGCTGGGGTTAGTCAGTCCAGTTAAACTGTTGTGACTTATTTCAGGAGGCAGTGGGACAGTAGGCTTCCACCAAAGCTAGGCCTCTGTGTAGTGTTGATGATCGAAAGAACTACACACGGAGGTTTTGAGTCCAGAGGGAAGTCAGCTCAGAGGATTTCTAGATGCTGAGCTCTGGAAGCTCTAAACTCAGGTGGTGGAGGAGGCACAGGCACAATCTGACAGATTTTCCTAAGTAGGAGTTTGTATCGAGTGCCCTGGGAAGGTTTCTGAGCAACCTACATAGGCTTGCTTGCTTGCTTTCTCTCTCTCTCTCTCTCTTTCTTTCTTATTTTTTGACAGGCAGAGTGCACAGTGAGAGAGAGAGACAGAGAGAAAGGTCTTCCTTTTGCCATTGGTTCACCCTCCAATGGCTGCCATGGTTGGCGCATTGGGCTGATCTTAAGCCAGGAGCCAGGTACTTCTCCTGGTCTCCCATGGGGTGCAGGGCCCAAGCACTTGGGCCATCCTCCACTGCACTCCCTGGCCACAGCAGAGAGCTGGCCTGGAAGAGGGGCAACTGGGACAGAATCCGGCGCCCCGACCGGGACTAGAACCCAGTGTGCCAGCGCCGCAGGCGGAAGATTAGCCTATTGAGCCACGGCACTGGCTCATAGGGTTTCCACTCTGAGTTCTCAAGTGGTGATTTTCTGAGGTCTGTGAAAGTTGTCCAGCTTCAGCTTTCGGGGCTTCAGGGAAAGAACAGATTTTGTTCATAGTGTTTCTAAGCCAGAAGGGTGGGAGAAAAATTGGGAATATTAGTTTGACTAACGAGTTAATAGCCAGATACTAGAGGAAACCACAGTTCAGGACCCAGTCCATTTTAGAGGTAAATAACAAAACCTAGAATCTGCTATCCGTGAGGGTGTGCTGTAGTGGAGAGATGGAGAACTCTCATCCACTAGTTCGTGCCCAAAATGCTCACAACGGCCCCAACTGAGGCTGAAGCTGGAGGCCGAGAGGTCTCCCACGTGGGTGGCAAGAACCCAGTTACTTGAGCCGATTACCCACTGCCTCCCGGGGTCCACATTAGGGATCTGGAGCCAACAGCTGGAGCTGGGTATCAATCCCAGGGATTCAAATATGGAAAACAGGCATCCTAACTGGTATTTCAACCACTGGGCTAAATACCAGGCCCATGTATGGTATTCAAGTTATCAGAAACTTGTATTCCAGAGTACTCATCAGACTCTTTCGTGAATCTCCTTGAAGAACAGCAGTTTTGGACTGTAGCTGATTACAAATGCTTTCAGGGAAGAATCAAAGTAAAATAGTAACTATCTGACAATGACAAAAACTTAAAATGGCCAAGGTTAAAGACCTAATGTAAATTTGTTGTAATAACCATGAAGTTGACAGGAAATGTGGTCATTTCTGTGGCATACAACAGTTTAATATAATAACGGAAATTATGACTGGTAATATTATATCAGGACATAGCATATTTCTAGGAATTAAATACAATTTCTAGAACTGAAAGGAGCCAAGAGCCACCATAAAAAAATGGGGCTCCTGAGACAAACCGTTCCAGAGACGGCCTTGGGAAATGGGGAGTAAACCGGTTCACAGAGAAAGCAGTCAGCTACTAACCAGAGATACACAGAACACCTGCCTTGTAGATAAGCCCCTTCCCTACGCTTGCTCAAGGTTAACAAAAAAAAAAAGCTGCAAGGCACGTAGCAACCTATTCCTCTCTCCTAGAAACCCCCTCCCCTAATGTATCCCTTTGACCTAGTACTTTTCCACCGACATTACCACTTTTAGACTGCCATACAAGGCCCGCTACTGAAAATTATCCAATGAACTTACGCCAGCCTATAATATGTTAATTTTGTGGTTTTGCCCTTTAAAAGCTGTGTGAGATAGCTGCTCGGGGCTCCTCTCACTTGCTTGCTGCTTGCAGCAGTAGGGGGCCCATTTGCGCAAATGAAATAAAATTACCTCCTGCTCTATTGCATCGTCTGGTCTGGAGTCTGTGTTTCTGGGGTCGTCACAAGAGGACACCGCTTTTGGGGTCCTACAAGAACATTCTTATCAGTAACATAAGCCCATAAAATATAAATGAAGGAAGGTTTAGTATCAAGTATTATTTGACTGCTTTACATGTCATTTAACACACCAAATAAACTAATTAGCTTTACATTTCTGTTATTATATGGAGAGAAAACAAATTCTTTTGAGATATTCCAGGGGATTTCTGGAAACTCATGAAGTGAGTTTGAGGTGAAAAGCAATTTAGAGGGGCTGGCGCGGTGGTGTTGCAGGTAAAGCCGCTGCCTGCAGTGCTGGCATCCCATATGGGCACTGGTTCTAGTCTTGGCTGCTCCACTTCTCAGTGCTCTCAGCACTGGAAGATATCCCAAGTCCTTGGGCCCCTGCACCTGCATGGGAGACCCAAAAGAAGCTCCTGGCTCCTGGCTTTGCGTTAGCACAGCTCCGGCCATTATGGCCATTTGGGGAGTGAACCAGCGGATGGAAGACCTCTCTTTCTTTCTCTGCCTCTCCTTCTCTCTGTGTGTAACTCTGACTTTCAAATAAATAAATAAATCTTTTTTTTTTAAAAAGCAATTTGGAATTTTATTTTGTGAAGCTGTAAGAAAAGTCAAAAGGCTTCGGGGTGGTGTTCCGGTGCAGTGGGTTAAGCGGCTGCTGGGGATATGCATATCCCATACCAGAATGCCAGTTGGAGTCCCAGCTGCTTTGTATTTTGATCTAGCTTCTTGCTAATGCATCTGAGAGGCAGTAGATGATGCTCCAAGCACTTGGGCCCCTTCCGCCTATGTGGGAGATCAGATGGAATTCCTGGCTCCTAACTTTGGCCTGGCCCAGTCCTGGCTGTTGCAGGCATTTGGGGTAAACCAATGGATGGAAGATCTTTCTCTCTCTCTCTCTATTACTCTGCCTTTCAAGTAAACAAATAAACTTTAAAAAGTATCAAAAGATTTAAAATACTTTACAATATCTCAGACTGTTATGAAACAAACACTTAGGTTCTCTTAATTAAGAACATGATGAAAGTTAACATAAAACATGGGAAATTATTCTGATAGAACAAAATCTTTGTTTTCCTAAGTCAGTTGATTGAAAGGAAAAGAAACACCTTTCATAATCTCTTAGTATTATCAGACCAATATGCCAAAAAAGCCACTTCAACAGAGAAAACCAGAATCTAAACTTTCACCAATGTACTATTGATATTAATGCTCAATTTATAACCCTTATAATAAATTCAGTGTTAGCTAATTTGACCATACAAGATAAGATAAGATTCCTTTCCAGGATTCTTTTTCTGCAGAACTTCTATAATTTTTATATCCACTAACTTTTTAAAAATAATTTTAAAGGATTTATTTATATGAAAGACAGAGTTACGGAGTGGGGGAGATCTATCTTCTGGTTTATTCCTCAAATGGCTGCAAATAGCTGAGGTTGGTCCAGGCCAAAGCTAAGAGTCTAGAGTTCCATCCAGGTCTCTGATGTGGGTGACAGACACCCGAGTACTTGAGCCATCTTCTAATGCTTTCCCAGGTGCATTAGCAGAGAGCTGGATCAGAAGTGGAGCAGCCGGGATTTGAACTGGTGCTCATGTGAGATGCTGGTGCCACACGCAGAGGCTTAACACATTGCACCTCATCAATCAGTTTTATTTTTCCCTACAAGTTCCTTGTTCTTATTCTGAAACAGTCATTCTTCATTAATATAGAATTAATAGCCCTCTCTCTTTTTTTAAAAAAGCTTATTTATTTATATTTATTTGAGAGAGTGATGGGGGGGGAGAGAGAGAGAGAGAGAGAGAGAGAGAGGTGAGTGAGCCATCTGCTGGTTCATTCTCCAAATGCCACAACAGCCAGGGCTGGGCCAGGCAGAAGCCAGGACTCAGGAACTCCATCTGGGTCTCCCATGTGGGTAGCAGGGAACCAAGTACTTGAGTCATCATTTGCTGCTACACTTTAGCAGGAAGCTGGGTTGGAAGTAGAAGGAGGACTTGAACTCAGGCACTCTGATCTGGGATGTGGGCATCTGAAGCTGCAGCTTAACCTGCTGTGCCACAATGCCCACCCCAATTTTCTTTTGATCTTAATAAAACTACATCCTTGTGCCTTATAACTGTCTTTACCAAAAAATACCTTATTTTCCTTGAATACATTGCATACAGAATTGTTACCTAATTATTTCTGGTAGTTTTTTTTTTTTTTTTTTGACAGGCAGAGTGGACAGTGAGAGAGAGAGACAGAGAGAAAGGTCTTCCTTTTGCCGTTGGTTCACCCTCCAATGGCCGCCGCGGCCAGCACGCTGCGGCCAGTGCACCGTGCTGATCCAAAGGCAGGAGCCAGGTACTTCTCCTGGTCTCCCATGGGGTGCAGGGCCCAAGCACTTGGGCCATCCTCCACTGCACTCCCTGGCCACAGCAGAGAGCTGGCCTGGAAGAGGGGCAACCGGGGCAGAATCCGGCGCCCCGACCAGGACTAGAACCTGGTGTGCTGGCGCCGCAAGGCGGAGGATTAGCCTAGTGAGCCGCTAATCCTATTTAGTAATTAGAATTTTTAATCCTTAGTTTTAATTTCTAGTGAAAACTAAGAAGTAAAGAATTATGAACTGTCAAACCAGCATTTGATAGATGAGTACTTTTCATAATTTCTAGAAACGTACGCTTCCTCATATATAATTTCTAATATTTATCAACAGATACAAGTATATTTACATATGAGGTATCACCAAACATCATGAAAATGCATAATATGAAAAAACTATGATGGATTTCAAAATGTTTTTGCACAAAAATTGAAGAGTTAAAATTGTATATGTGCGGGTGTAAAAAGTTAAGCTTAAGCTTACAGGTTTAAACCTTCCTGGTACAGCTGTAAAAATAAGACAGAGTGAAGTAGCACCTTGACAGTAGGGACTCCATTTTGGAGCACTTGAGACTCCATTCTGGGAAAGCACCCTCCCACCGTGAGACTCTGGTCTGAAACTATGATCTCAAATAGTCGGACAATAGCAGTGCACTACATCATCCTTGGCAACACACAAAAACCCCCTAGCATGATTGCTCAAGCTTAAAAGTAGAAAGGTTACACCTGGGTTACCTGGGCTAATAATGAAGATGTGATTTGTCTGTGTCTTACATTAATGTCAAGTCCTAATTGCTGATTGTAATATTGTAACTGGTATTGTCAAGATTATGATAAATATTAATTTCACTTAGGTTTTAGGTTATGTTGACCCCAGTAACCATATACTCTCTTTTGATTTTATGTACTCTCTTTTGATTTTAGCAACTGTGTATAGCAACCGTGCATAGCAACCATGTATTCCCCCTTCCCGGTTTTGCGGTTTTTGCCTTTATAAACCCTAACCTTTGGTTATTCGGGGCTGCTCTGTTCATGTATCATCAGACAGCCCCAGCATGCTGGATAATCAATAAAGCTTCCCCTTGCTGTTTGCATGAGATGTCTCTTGGTGACGTTTTTCGGGCAGTCGACTCTAACAAAATAAAGATCCTTTAATTCCAATTCTCAACAATTTTTTGTGGTATCCTTCTACTTGAAGGTTATAAATTAACATAAAAATTTTGGAATCCAGTTAAGTAGACATATTTTATACAGCATAATGATTGTTGAAAAGTACTTTTGTGGCTGGCGCCGTGACTCACTTGGCTAATCCTCAGCCTGCAGTGTCGGCACCCCGGGTTCTAGTCCCGGTTGGGGCGCCGGTTCTGTCCCAGTTGCTCCTCTTCTAGTCTAGCTCTCTGCTGTGGCCCAGAAAGGCAGTGGAGGATGGCCCAAGTGCTTGGGCCCCTGCACCCGCATGGAGACCAGGAAGAGGTTCCTGGCTTTGGATCGGCACAGCGCTCCGGCCATAGCAGCCATTTGGGGGGTGAACCAACGGAAGGAAGACCTTTCTCTCTGTCTTTCTCTCTCTCACTCTTTAACTCTGCCTGTCAAAAAAAGAAAAGTTCTTTTGTAAACTTACCCCTTTTACATTTTAAAAGATTTATTTATTTGAAAGGCAGAGTTATGGAGAGAGAGAGGGAGAGACGGAGAGAGAGAGGGAGAGACAGAGAGAGAGAGAGAGATCCTCTGTGGGGAGCAACTGGGAGCAACTCGGACTAGACTGTTACTGGAATTAAGACTTATTCTATGCATCTGCTCTCCCACAATATGGCGCTGGGAGAGGAGGAAACAGCTTCTACGCAGCTGCCTCTTGCCAACTTGAGTGATGACCTCCAGGAGCTGATCCTGCTCCTGATTGGAGGAGAGCAGCGGACTCGGCGTGTGGGTAGCAGAGTTGGGATTGGTGGAAAAGGACTATAAAGGAGGAGAGAGACAACATGCACCAGGAACATCTATCTGAAGGAACACCTGTGCAGCCCCCAAGAGAGCCGGCCGGCAGTGTGCCGCTCCCCCGCGGAAGTGGGGAATGTGGCAGGGGGAACCGCCCTTCCACGGAGGTGGAGGGACGGTAGCCAACCCGGGAAGAACCAGCAGCAAACCCGGGGAGGGCCGAGCAGACAAAAGAACAGCGCAGGGTCCTGTGTCGTTCCTCCACGAAGAGGGGGAGCGACAATCCTCCATCTACTGGTCCATTCCCCAAAAGGCTGCAATGGCTAGAGGTGGGCCAAACCAAATCCAGGAGCCAGGAGATTCCTCTGGGTCTTCTATTGAGCACCACGGCTCACTAGGCTAATCCTCCACCTAGCGGCGCTGGCACACCGGGTTCTAGTCCCGGTCGGGGCGCCGGATTCTTTCCCGGTTGCCCCTCTTCCAGGCCAGCTCTCTGCTGTGGCCAGGGAAGGCAGTGGAGGATGGCCCAAGTACTTGGGCCCTGCACCCCATGGGAGACCAGGAGAAGCACCTGGCTCCTGCCTTTGGATCAGCGCAGTGCACCGGCCGCAGCGCGCCAGCCGTGGTGGCCATTGGAGGGTGAACCAACGGCAAAAGGAAGACCTTTC